AAAAAATACAAAAAACGAAAAATATTCACTGAGATATTGTGTCAATATATCAAGTGTAAACCTTATGAAAGGTTTATATTTGAACTTCAAAAATTTAGACAAGTTCATAAAATGATGAAGTACATTTAGTTTTGTAGTCATTTCTTTGTGAGTTTTAAGTTTAAAATAGGCATTATTACTGAAATAACTAGCTCAATTTTTCAAAGCTTACTTTGACTTTATACTTCATTTCCATTATAACATTAATGGACATTTGGAGATAATTTGATCCAGATCTTATCTAATAAAATTTATTTCTCAATATGCATGTGTTCAGGAACACTATCTGATCAAAATTTGTTTCAACATATGAGAATATTGCCATCAATAATGTGTTACTCTCATACTTAATAAACAAATATTTAAGAAGATTTAAATCATGTTTTCTGACCAGGATGAAATGAAAATTGAAATCAATAGCAGAAGGAATTAGAAAATTTACAAATTTGTGGAAATTAAGCAGCATACTCCTGACCAATGAATAGACCAAAGAAAAAATCAAAAGGGAAATCAGAAAATACCTTTATATAAATGAAAATTAAAGCACAGTATTTCAAAACTTATGGGATATATCAGAGACAATACTAAGTGTGGGAGATTATAATGATAAACACCATTATCGAAAATAAAGAAAGATCTCAAACTACCTAAATTTAAACCTCATTGAACTAGATAAAGAACCAACTAAATAAGGCAAAAGTTAGCAAAGAAAAAAAAGGAATTAACGAATATTAGTGCATAAATAAACAGAATAGAGAATAGACAAATAATAGAAAAATCAAAATTAAGAGTTGGTTGTTTTAAAAAACAACAAAATTGACACACTTTTAGTTAGACTGAAACAAAAAAAAGATAACTCAAAAAATAAAATCAGGAATGAAAGAAAAGTCATGACAACTGATATCACAAAAATAAAAAGGATCATAGAAAACTACTCTCAACAATTATATGCCAACAGATTGGATAACCTTGAAGGAATGAATAAATTAAACACACACAGACAAACACAACCTACAAATAGTGAACCATGAAATCCATGAAGAAATAGAAAATCTGAAAAGACTAATAACTAGTGGGTAGATTTAATCAGTACTTAAAAACCTCCAAACAAAGAAAATCTTAGGACCACATGATTTCACTGGTGAATTCTACCAAACATTTAAAGAAGAATTAATATAACCCTTCTTAAACTCTTTCAAAAATTGAAGAGGAAAGAACACTTCCAAACTCATTTTATAAGGCCAGTATTATCCACATATCAAAGCCCAGGCAAAGCACTACAAGAAAAGTACAGGTTAATATATCCAATCAACATAGATGCAAAACATCTCAACAAAATACTGGCCAACCAAATTCAACAGGATCATACACCATTATCAAATGGGATTTATCCCTTGGAAGCAAGCATGGTTCCACAAACACAAATCAATTAATGTGATACACTGCATAAGTAGAATGAAGGCTACAAATCACATTATCATCTCATTGGATGCAGAAAAAAAGCGTTTGACAAAATTCAATATCCTTTCATGATAAAAATTTTCAACAAATGAGATATAGAAGGAATGATGTACCTTAATATAATAAAGGACATATATAAGAAGTCCAGTATTGGCATCATACTCAATGAAAAAAAATTAAAAACTTTTCTTCAAAGATCAAGAGCAAGACAAGAATGTCTCTTCTCACCGTTTATATGTAACACAATACTGGAAGTACTTGTCAGAGCAATTAGGAAAGAAAAAGAAATAGACATCCAAATTGGAAAATAAGTAAATATATTCCTATTAGCAGACACCATGATATTTTATATAAAAAATACCCTAAGGCCCCATTTAGGGGCTCCTGACTGGCTCAGTCAGAAGAGCATTCAACTCTTGATCTCAGGGTTGTGAGTTCAAACCCCACATGGGTTATAGAGATTGCTTAAATAAATAATAATAATAAATTTTAAAAATAAATTAAAAGAAAGAAAATAGAAAACCCTAAGACCCCATTTGAAAACGTGTGTTAGAACTAATAAACAAATTCAGTAAAGTTACAAGATACAAAATAAATATGCAAAAATCAATTGCTATACACTAACAATGAACTATCTGAAAAGGAAATTGGAGAAACAAGCCTGTTCACACTAACATTAGAAAGAATAAAATACTTAGGAATAAGCTTAACCAAGTAGATGGAAGATTTTGTATCCTGAAAACCACAACACATTGACGTAAGAAATTAAGACATAAATAAATGAAAAGACATTCCATATTCATGTATTGGAAGATATATTGTTAAAATGTCCCTACTACCCAAAGTGATTTACAAATTCAATGCTATATCCATAAAAATCACAAGACAGAGAGAATGAGAGAGAGAACACAAGGAGGGTGAAGGGCAGAGGGAGAAGCAGACTCCGCTGAGCGGGGAGACCAATGCGTGGCTCAATCCTGGAACTCCAGGGTCATGACCTGGGCCAAAGGAAGACGCTTAACCAACTGAGCCACCCAGGCACCCCAAAAATCACAATAATTTTTAGAGATATGGAAAACAGTCTAAATGCATATGGAACCACAAAAGATCCTAAATAGCCAAAGAAATCTTAATAAGGAACAAAGCTGGAGGCATCACCCTTCCTGATTTCATAATATACTACAAAACTACAGTAATCAAAACTATAGTACTGGCTTGAAGACAGACATATATACCACTGGAAAAGAATAGGGAGACCGGAAATAAACCCACCATATATATCAACTGACTTCAACAGGGGAACAAGAATACACAATGGAGAAAGCATAGTTTCTTTAACAAAGGACATTGAGAAAGCTGGATTTCCACATTGAAAACAATGAAATTGGACCCTTAAGTTATACCATACACAAAAATCAATTTAAAATGGATTAAAGACTTAAAACATAAACTGGAAACTGGAAATTCCTAAAAGAAAACAAAAGGAAAAACCTTCTTGAGATTTGTCTTGGCAAATATTCCCTGGATATGACACCAAAAAACACAGGCAACAATAGACAAGTAGAAATATATCAAACTAAAAACTTTTGCATAAAAAAATGATCCATAAAACGGCACCTGGGTGGCTCAGTGGGTTGAGCATCTGACTCTTGATTTCGGCTCGGGTCATGATCTCAGGGTTGTGAGATCAAGCCCTGCATTGGGTTCTGCGCTGGGCCTGGAGCCTGTTTAAGATTCTCTCTCCCTCTGCCCTTCCCCATCTCTCACAAGCACTCTCTCTCTCTCTTTCTCTCAAAAAAAAAAAAAAAAAGAATCAATGAAATAAAGACAACCACCTACAAAATGGGAGAATATGTTTGCAAACCCTATACTGATAAGGTGTCTATATCCAAAAATATATAAGGAACTCCTTTAACTCAAAAGCTGATAAAAATAATAATAAACCCAATTTAAAAATGATAAAAAGTCTTGAATGGATATTTTTCCAAAGAAGACCTACAAATGGCTAACAAGTATATGAAAATGTGTTCAACATCACTAATCATCAGGGAAATGCATACCAAAACAATGAGATATCATGTCACGCTTGTTAGAATGGCTATTACCAAAAGAACAGAAAATAAATATTGGGTAGCATTTGAAGACATTGGAACGCTTGGACACTGTTGAGAATGTAACATGGTGCAGCTGTTATGGGGCCATTGAGGGTCCTAAAAAATTAAAAATAAACCTATCAAATGATTCAGTAATCCCACTTCTCAGTATATACATCCAAAAGAGAATTGAGATCAGGATCCCAAGACGATATCTTCTCTCCAATGTTCATTGCATAATTATTCACAATAACCAAGATATGGAAACAACATACATGAATTGATGGATAAATAGATAAAGAAAATATAATAAATGCATCCAATAGAATAGTATTCAGCCTTTAAAAAGAAGGAAATCCTGCCATTTACAACAACATGAATAAACCATTGTACTAAGTAAAATAAGCCAGTCACAGAATGACAAATGCTGCATGAATTGAATCCACTTATATGAGATATCTAAAATAGTCAAACTCCTAGAAACACAGTGTAGAATGGTAATTTCCAAAGACAGGAGGGAGACGGAAATGGAGAGGTTTATTTCCCCCCCCAAAGGCTATAAAATTTCAATTATGCAAGATATGAATAAGTTCTAGGGACCTATTGTAAAACATAGTGTCTATAGTTAATAACACTGAAGTGTACAATTAAAATTGTGTTAAGATAGCACACTTAAAGTTAAGTGTTTTAAATTACATCTCATGGTAAGGGTTCACAATTTTTTTTTTTTTAAGTAGGGAACAATCCATACTTTAATCACTGCTCTGTGGCAGTTCAATTAACAAAAACACTGAAAGGGTTCATTGGATTCTGCAGTATGATGATTATTAGTGATCTTGTCCACAACTTGGAATGTTTGGCCAGGGGGGTGGGGAGGGAAGCCAGATTTAGCAGCTGTGGGTGTAGAAAATTCTTTCAAGAACTTTGAACAGTACAAGTTAAAGCAGTAATTTGAGGGAGGTACAAGAAAAAGGTAATATGACCTCTGGTTAAATGCAGGAGATACACATGGACCCTTGGCTCTGACACAGGTTTAAACATTTATAGATGTGTCAATTTAAGCAAATTACTCAACATCCCTATGCTTCCTTTTCCTCATGTATAGTGGGAATAATACTACCCAATAGAGGGGTGGTTTAAGGCAGCTATTCATGTAAAGCTAGTAGGACTCTGCCTAGCTAGGTAAACACAAAGTGTTACTATAAAACATCAACTAATATTGTCATTACAATCATTAAAAATGTCCTTTCCCTCTGCCTATCAAGTATTACTTTCCTCATTTATTTTCCAGGATATTTTTGTTAGCTTCAAATTATTTTAATTTTCTGGGAATCCATTCTAAGTAAGAAAGAAATTTTTCCCCTGGTATTTCTCCATAGACAATGCAGATTTTTCTCTTTGCTTTACCTTACTGTGTATTCCAGTTCTTGTGCCATCTTTTCAGGTTGTAAACTGGAGTATTCCTGATACCAAAGTAAATTAGCAGATTGAGAAGTGAGTCTGGGACCAGAGAAGTGAGCATTCTAGAAGGGTATTTTATCAATTGCTATTTCTCTTTATGGATAGTGGAGCCACGTGGTAGGGGTCAGGTTTCAGTATTTAGCTTTCTCTTGACTATTCACAACTCCATTTCCCTGACCACTGAAAAATGCGCTGAGTAATCCTGCCTCACTGGGCTTCTTTCTTTTAACTTTCTGTATCTGGTGGAAGAATCCTGGAGGCTGGCAGGATAAGCTGTTTTCCAATGCTGTTGAACTCCAGTGGCTATTAAAAGAGGATTCCGAGTAGTATGTCTGGTTGCACACCGTGTTCCTGCCCCAAGTAATTTCTCTTCCAATTAAATGTTGCCCGAAGTCTTGTGCCAGAACATCTTTTATTTATAGCCCACAATTCCATCTTGCAGCCTCAGGAGAAGGATTTATTAGCAATGATGCAAGGTGTCGCTTTTATCTATTTGACAGGTTTTGATATCTTTAGAGCAAATTGATCCAACTTTTTTTGTATTTAAAATTTATAAGAGATTTAGGGGCGCCTAGGTGGCTGTCGTTAAGCGTCTGCCTTCGGCTCGGGTCATGATCCTAGGATCCTGGGATCAAGCCCCACCTCGGGTTCTCTGCTTGGTGGGAAGCCTGCTTCTCCCTCTCCCACTCCCCCCCTTGTGTTCCCTCTCTCGCTGTCTCTCTCTCTGTCAAATAAATTTTAAAAATCTTTAAAAAAAATTATAAGAGATTTATTATATTTAAAGGAGATTATTCAGTGATTCTGGGTTCTCAATAATTATGCAGGATTTTCTACATTGTATATAATTTTTTTCATTTTATTGCAGACATGGAAGCATAGGTGGGTCTATGAGGTAGTCATTACACTATCTTCTCTCTTAATAGTTTTAGAGGGAGAGTAGTGAGAGAGGAGCATAAATTTGGCATAAATTCCAGCTCTACCTATGACATTAGGTAGTTACTTAATCTCAGTGTTTCTAAAAAAATGAGTTTAATGACAGTGACTACTTTATAGAAAAGATATGAGATTTAAGAATTAATATATGTAAAAATGTGTGGCAGTGGCTGGTACACTATGAAAATGTTTAATGTAGTTATTAAATTTAATGGAGATTTAGTGTTCTATCATGTTAACATATTTATTTAACCATTCTACTATTTGCAAGTTTATTTTTAAAAGTTTGCTATTATATAACACTATAATATAAATACAAATCTCAGCGTGTATCACCAATTATTTTTGGAGTAAAATTTAGAATAAATTCTTAGACATAAAATTATTGCATCAAAAGTATAAACATTTTTTTAAGATTCTTGAAATATGCATACTAAGAAATTTCCTTCAAGACTTGGCGAGCAAGTTTATAATTCTATTGGTATATAAAAGAAGTCGTTATACACCATCTTCATCAACAGTGGATAATATCATTACAAAAATTAAAATAAATTTGCTAACTAGATGAGTACAAATTCTCATTTGATATACATAATATATTATTCTTTTAATTGGTGATTTTATTACCAATAAAATGAAAAATCACTGTATGTTTGTTCTCTGATCATAAAATGTATTATGCATATTTTGTGTTAATTATGTATCCTGCTCTCAATACAGTCTACTTAAATGGAAACATACCTAAATAGAAATATATAATTTGGAATCTCCTGTTTTCATTCATTACTATTTCAAAAATAGTATCCTGAATATAATAAACCATATATTATCGCTCCATGCTATTAAAAATGTTTCAAATCTGAATGAATTTCCTCTATAATAAAATTTATGAGTTAATCATGAGTGGTTTACGTCCAGCATTGAACAGGATACTACTATTCAATTATGTGGTCTCTCTTATTATCGCATGTTTCTAATTGTTGAGTGTATTTTATGCTGACTCAAATGTGCTGCCTATCCTAGTGAGTAATTCTAGTTCAACCCCTGTAATTAAGTAGAACAATTATATTTCTCAAGTATGTATCTCTCTTTATACTTAAAACACAGTTATAAAATGCCCCCTTAATCTTTTACTTTCAATGTTAAAAATTTTTAGTCCTTTAAATTTCCTTTTTTTTTTCTTTTTTTTTTTTCTTTTTGAGGCTAGGAAGGTCTTTATTTCTTTTTCTTTTCTTTTTTTTTTCTTTTTTTTTTGAGGTGCAGGTAACTTTATTTTTTTTTATTATGTTCAGTTAACACTATATAGTACATCAATATTATATGATTTTCTAAAATTTTAGAATTCTGAGTACACCGTATTTATATGCTTAATCTTTGTATGATTAGTAAAAGGTCTCTTAGCCCCTGCTCGTTGTTCAAAATTCTTATGGAAGAAAGAAATCACATGAGGAGAAATTGAAACAAATAAAATTTGGTTTAGACCTTTGGAAATTTTTTCTACCTCTAAAACATTGGTTAATAGTGAAGCTAATCTGTTATAAGGCAGAAAAATTCTGCTGAACAACTTTAGAAAAACAAAAAATTAAATTACCTACTCAGTCTCTTTGCTTTCATGCTTCTATTGATTCTTGGCATCCTTTAATTATGAGTAAACTACTGCTATCATTTTAATGTGCTCCCAAAAGATAAAACAAGTGTCTACAGAAGATACAAATTTGAACAAGAAACCATATTTCAAAAATTTAGTTGTTTTACCTATGTACATTTGCTAAGTTTATTTAAAATTTACTGTATGTTGTCCTCTCTGATTAGAGAGAATGTATATAAACCTTGTAATCCGAGGTTTTTAAAATGTAACTTTTTAAGCCATTATTCATATACAAAATAAATCTTTTCTTATCCTTTTGAAAGAGTAACTAATCACAGTATTCAACATTACCTTTGTAATCAAATATATATTTATATACAACTAAAAGCTGTGCAACTGACTAAGACAGTTGGTCAAAGGAGAGCTTTGCAACTGAATTACACATTTAATCACATTAGCCATTCAATTTTTATTGGTTATAAATGTCTGGAATAAAATTCTCAGACACAGAGACATCGAAGAAGAACAACCTCTAACTTTATGGTTTACCTCCTTGACATGAATTTCATTTGAGCAGAAAATGTAGAGTGATAGTTTATATCCATTTTAAGTTGGAAAGGCAAAGAAGGTTTTCTTGCCCCTTATTAATAGCTTCTCCGTGTGATGGTAGTTAAAGATATAATTTTTCTGCCATCTTCAGATAGAGGAGAGAGATCCATTGCCCATATACACCCAAATTAATATTTAACACATCATCTGAACACTAGAGTACTTGAATATATTTGTGAAACAAAATTCCAAAGCATTTATAAACTTAACATAATTGTCTCAAAACTTCTCTAAAAAATGTAACTGTGTCTTGATTAAGAAAAAGAGATGGACTGATGAAATGTAAAACGGAGACTTTTTATTAAACATAGAAAACATATCATTTTTCAAGCATAAGAAGCTGACAGCACTTATTTAATATTGTATATTAAAAACATGTTTTGGTGGCCCAGAGTGAATGAAAAGAACACGGTAAGGAAAGTATTGGTTCTGAAAGCAGAGGGTGAAGAACATAGAAGTATTTATTTTCTATGAAAGTGTTTTTTGTGAAAAGTAAAACTGGGATAAAGAAAATAATGAGATAACTCACAGACCACCAGAAAAGTCTTAAGAGCAAGGTTAGACCAGGAAAAGAACGAAGGAAAATAGAAATAAAATTGCTGAGGGGGCAGAATGAAAAGAGGGCAATGGATTTTTAATTTCCGGCCATTTAGTGAAAGGAATAGTATACTCCACCAGGTAAGAGGCAAGTAAAAATTTCATATATAGAAAAGCCTTTGCAGTCTTTGGCTGAGTTTGCAAGGCAGACAGCTACCAGGATGAAGATTTCATTCTAAATTCATTACATATTAGGAATATAGAAGGAAGGGGGTTCCTAAGAAATCTGCGGTTAAATTTGCCTTTGAAATAGGGAGAACTAAAGACAAGAAGGACATGAACCTAAAGGAAAAGTTAAAACCATGCAGAAAATTGAGAAATTGATGAGATTTGTTAATTTATTCAATAGCCATGATACAAAAATTCTAGGGGATAAAATAAACCCTAAGGAATACCACAGAGTGTAGATATTAGAAACTTAGAGGAATAAAATATAGAGAGAAGTTTCTAAGGAAAGTATTATGGAGAGTATCCTCTAAATGTAATAATTGTGGTTGGGGGATAGGGATACTTTCTGTTTTGTGGCTTGGCTGGAGTTGGGGCTGGGATGAATGTAACAATGAGTCAGTCAGGTGACTATAGGACAGAGGAAAGTATATTTTTGAAAAGAATAGCAAAAGTCAGTGGTTTATAACTTGTGGTCTTGCATCAACAGCATCAGTATCACCTGGGAACTTACTGGAAATGAAAATTCTCAATTTTGGTACCAAATGCAGACCTACTGAATCACAAGCTTTGGAAACAAGGTCCAGGAATCTGTTTTAACAAGCCCTCCAGTGATTCTGAGGTTGGCTAACATTTGATTACCAATGACAGAAGCAAACATCTAGAAACAAGGAAGAACATCTTCCTGTCATATATAATACAAGTTATTTTTTAATCTTTTGATTTTGTGCACGGCTTTAACTATTTTTAAATGCAACTATTACATTTTAACTATTTTAACTGTATTTTAAAATTGCATTTAATTTTTGAATACAAGTTTCTCACAAAATAAAATTCCACATAACTATGACATAAAGAAATAAAACATTGTCTGCATCCCAGGAGGTTTGTTCATATGCTTTCCAAGTAACTATCTCCTACCCTCAACTCCCAAAGATAAAGATTGTCCTGAACTTTTACAATTTACTTTTGTTTCCTTCACTTGATTTTTATATGAATAGGATTCTATGGTATGTTCTCTATTATGTCTAGCCTTTTTTATTCATGTTATATTTGTGAGAGTTTTAACGTTAGCTAAACACATAGCTGTGTGCTTTTTGATTGTATGAACATATCAAAATTACATACCTATTCTAATGATGGACATCATTTTGGCAATTTTCAGCTTGAGGC